AACAGGAGTACTTGTGGCACCTTAGAGACTAACAAATTTATTAGTCTCTAAGGTGCCACAAGTACTCCTGTTCTTTTTATATATTTTTTAGAAATTTCTATAGAAAATTACTTTGCACCCTATGTAAAGGAAATCATAATGAACCTGTCTTCAGCACAGGGGCAGATATCTGGGATTTTTTCAAATGTTGTTATACTTCTCCCCTTATAAACCTCTGTGTAAGAAGACTAATGAATTTTGGCTATAACCTCCATAAATATGATGTTTCCAATGCTCACAAGTCTAACTCCTACAAAATGTTAAATATGTGCAAACATGTTTATACCATAATTCTCTCTCTCTCTCTCTCTCTCTTACTATCTATCTCTCGTTATATGAAGAGCTCTGTATGAGTTAGTTAGGACTAGTGGGACTAGTTAGGAAATAGGACTGAGTAGACTTGTAGGCTCAAAAATTTTGCATTGTTTTGTTTTTGAGTAAGAAAAATGAGCTTGAGAACTTAAGGATATTTAATTGTACAATTTATTTTTAATGGTTATAACGCTTTAACTTTTTGAATTTCAGTATCTACTATTGTCTGACCCCCCCACCTTATAATTTCCCCATAACTGATAATGTAAATACATAAAATTTTTAAAAATGCTTAAAAATCATTGATACTCTCCATTGAAATACTAATAAAAAAGACCAAATTTGGTCAAGTCTACATAAGAGCTATAGGAAGAGGTAGCCAAGGGCAGACTCAGTCTGCTAAGCAACCCAGAGGGAGACACATTATGTAGAACAGGGGGCCTTGTTGGTTCGGGGAAGGATTGCAGGCATGCCTGCTCAGAGGAAGGGGCAGAGTCAAACGATCGACAAGAGGAAGCCTGGGAAGAAGAGCTAGCCTGCCAATAGGGAGTGAGCTGTTCTCCCTTGGGAGCCCTGGAGGGGGGAGAAGAAATTTTGTGGGTAGTTGGGAGCTGCCCATAGAAAGGGCAGGACTGGTTGTGTGGGGATCCAGAAGAACCCAAGCCCGTCCATCCAATCCTATAAGGAGTTTGGCACTAAAGGAGGTAACTGGGTGGACAGGGGGCATTAGATATCTTTATGAAGAACTGATTGTTTAAATTCAGCGCCACACTAAACAGACACAAAGAAATAGGCAGGCAGCATCTCTTTGTGAGCCAATCATAGTGCAATATTAACTACTTGATTTTCTGACCTTCACCGTGTGCGTGTTCTGTGTTTTACACCGTGGAACTGCTTCAATTTCAGAGCTACAGGACACAACAATCGCATAAACCTTTAATGTTTAACAAAAATAAGCCCCGAAAAAATACCCAGTGGATTGATAAATGGGTGTAAATCTGTAAAAACTGAACTCCTTTACTAAAAAACCTGGTAATTTATCAGTGAAAAATCAGTAAAAACTGAAAACACAGAAAACTACCGGTACCTGTCTGTGACTTTTACAAAAAACAATGGGGGGGGGGATGAGAGACCGAAGGGGGAAGGGGGACTCAGAGCTGGGGGGAGAGGGGGGAAGGGGGACTTCCACCACGCGAGGCAGCTTGGAGCTGCAAGGCTGGCAGCTGGGAGCTGTGGCTGAGAGCTGCCTTGCATGACCTCTGTGACATAATTTATCTTTACATATGATTACACAGCCTGTTAAATTATCCGAAAAACACTGAAGTAATAAATCCATACAATGCTCTCTTTTCACCTTTAAAGGCACATGTATAATCAAATCTTATTAATATGAAAGACTTATTAATCTTATTAATTTAAAAAAACTTAAGACGCACATTTGTCTGATAACTGGAGAGAAACTGTGTAACAAACAGCTTACTGAAGGTAGAACAAATACATGCCTTAAAACCATAGGCTATGGTTATAATATTTATAGTTTAATAGAAGGCCTCTATTGAGACTCTTCTCTGGTGTACTATTTCTGCAATAAACCAGATGCTGTACACAGCCAATGCTCTAAAACACAAACATATTTACTACATTTTTTGCTGTTGAGGAGCAAGAGTTATTACTGTAACTGAATTTGTCTTAAATTACTCTAGCATCGGAATAAAATTATAACAGACAGAATTCCTATTATCCCTACTGAAAGCAATAACCACGACACTGGCTGGAAGAAGGAATAGCTACAGAGAGAGCATTTCAGTTGTTACTCACTTTTATTTTTTATAGTAAAAGTGTTCTCCTTCAGCCTTATAGAGTCATCATCTTTGACTTCCACAGACGGAGCGGATTTTGCCTGCACTTTCCAGATTCTTATCAGACAATCCTGGGCACAGCTTGCTAAGAAAAGATCCCCGCCTGTTTAAAAAAATAACACACAGTAAAAATAAAAATGTTAAATCACTTACCTTTTCATTCTGACTTATCAAGATTAACGTCTTCCATTCTTATCACCCTTCACCACACCATACATATTTTATTTTTTCCCTCTGCAAACAGTATTATGAACACTATTGTTCCTTTTATTCCAATGTCAACTCATTCTAACAATTTAACACAACCAAGCAAATTAGAACACACTGACTCATGGGTCCTGCCTCACTTACATGGTAACAGCCATATCCTGGGCAGGGCCGGCTCCAGGCACCAGCTTACCAAGCAGGTGCTTGGGGCGGCCACTTCGGAAAGGGGCGGCACGTCCAGCTGTTCGGCGGCAATTCAGCGGACGGTCCCTCACTCCTGCCCAGAGCGAAGGACCTCCCGCCGAATTGCTGCCGCAGATCGCGATCGTGGGTTTTTTTTGTTTGTTTTGTTTTGTTTGGCTGCTTGGGGCGGCCAAAACCCTGGAGCCGGCCCTGATCCTGGGATATACAATATTAAAACTTCAGCCTCACAGTTCATCAGTCCAGGAAACACTGGTTATTGACTTAGGGAGAAACCCTACAAGTTACTGTTCTGAGATGTGCTTCTCCCACCTGCACCCTTGATCTTTTCACCCTCCATGCTGCTTAGGAAGGATAAATCCCCAATCTTGAGTATCCATTTAAATTAATACATTTTAAGAAGTCCCTTCCTCCTGTTGCCTCTCCCCTACATTTTCTACAAAGTGAGTAACGTTTGTAATCAGTTATTCAAAGGCTGAATATGAGGAGTAGTGGAGTCTCCCACCAATTTGTGCTATTCTTACAAGGGGAGAAAGAGGAGGTAGGGAAGTTCCTAAAATTAATTTAATTTTTAAAAATAAACTGGGGCTGACTCACCATTCTCAGGAACAAGGACCACAGGGATGGCAAGGGACAAGTTGCTAAGTCAAGCAAATTTGTTTGAGTTCAAATGCCACTAAGATTGACACATTAAAAACCAGGCAAGGCAAGACAAGGTGATGGATGCAGAGAAAACAATGGTTATAAAGAGATTTGTATACTGGGTGATTGAGAAATATACAAATGCAAACCAATCCCACTGCAATCAGAGTGCCGGAAATAACCACACCATTGTGGTACTAGCATAAAGACCTGCAAGGCATCCCTGTATTCTGGCTAACTGAGACAATTCAATTTCTGTATTACTTTGCATTATACTTTGTTTAGTCTGAGGAATGTTGTTCTGTAAAGTGACCCAGATAGATTATAATCAGAAGTGCCATCTAAAAAAAGATCTACAGCAAATATGTCAGAAGTATCAGAGAATATAAATATATCAGAGAATAGTGAATACTGGAGTAAAATGGCAGTACTATGCTAAAATATTCCTCCACCTAACATCTAATCCATGCAAAGACATCAGCCTTCCACTGAACCAGGAACTGCGATCTAACAAATGAATGGGATTAAAAATGGAGACCAGATGGTTAGTTTTTTTTCCCCTTCCAATCTTCAACTCTCTGCCTCATTAAATGTTTTATTGGACTTTCATACTGACCACAGACTGCCCATTCAATGCCTCTTATCCAATCTTCATGGCCATGGAGTATTAGTGTTTTCTGAAACTAAAAAGAAATCATCATTACACCACAGAAGTCAGAACTTCAATATCCAATAGTCTTACATACCATACATATGGCTTTGGACAATTAACTCCTGCTCTTCAGATGTGCTGACCACCTGCAACTCCCATTAACTGGATGATCAGTACCTGAAGAACAAGGCCTTATTGTCCAATACCATGTTCTTGAATGAGCCCTTTTGATGAGGCCATAGCCAAGGAGTAACTTTAGCAGATCATCTCATCTCAGTTATTGTCCCACTATCTAAACAAGAAAAGTGGGCAAAAAATAGATGGGGTTTTTCCTCCCTACGAACTTTTTCTTTTCTTTTTAAAATCTTTTGGAAAAAAACTGCAAATACCGTAATCTCGGAGGTCAATCCTACACTTACGTGACTTCAACAGGAGTTTTGTCTGAGTGAAACAGCAGCAGGGCCATTAACCATAATTGTTTATATTTATTATGTTGATATGTATGCATACCCAATAAAAGGGATGACTACCTAGTCTTCGACATTCCTATAATCATCTCCACCCACTGATCAACATTTCTTTGCTTTTCTGTTTTTACAATTCACAGCCTTAACATTACACAGATGTCTAGATAAAAAGCATTAAGTCACTGAAAAGACTTTTGAAAACACTCTGAATTGGAAAATTTTGTTCTTAACTATAAATTTGTCTATTCATAACAGGGAATCCAACAATCTGACTGCTCACCTTTGGGGTATTTATACCCACCAGCACTCACAGAGGCAGCTTGCAGGTTAGATTTTTTTTAACACCTAAATGATTATTCTACAACCGGGCAGTAACTATAGCACAAGCCCAGGAGGTAACTTCCAACAGAGAAGAGAACCTATGAAATACTTGTCATTGTTACCGAGCTAGTTAAAGACTAACACATTTATTTGGGCATAAGCTTTCGTGGATAAAAAAACCTCACTTCTTCAGATGCATGGAGTGAAAGTTACAGATGCAGCTGAAGAAGTGAGGTTTTTTACCCATGAAAGCTTATGCCCAAATAAATCTGTTAGTCTTTAAGGAGCCACCGGACTCCTTGTTGTTTTTGTGGATACAGACAAACACGGCTACCCCCCATAAAGAGCGAGGTTGCTCTCTGTCTCCTTTCTCTGCCGCCCACGCTTCCA